AGGACATTTTTACGCCGCTTGCAATCAGTTTTGAACGGCGAGTGCGAACATAACGCGATAAGCTGTAGCAGCTGCAACCGCCAATCCCGAATTCATTCTTACAGATGTTTTTTTTTTTTTGAAAACTTCCAAAAATAAACTCAGGGAGTGTCAGCGATTCAGACGACCAGCTTTAGCTGCGAGGAGCCATTACAAAAATGGCAGATGTGGAATTAAGCAGTAGGCAAGCATCTCTAAATAGCGGCAGGAATCAGGAACCGATGCTATCTTGTGTTGTCCTGAAGCAATCAGATCGTCAGCAGTATGAGTGTTGCTACTTTCAAGACGTACGCTCATATTAGCAATACTTTTGGCCTTATCCTGTATGTGGACGGAGAAGGGCATCGGCTAAGACGACAGTGTTGTATTGCTTGAAGCTGTGTAAAATCCCAACTTGTAGCATTTATGATTACCGTGAAGAAAGGTTGTTGACGATTTTGCAATTTCAAGTTTCCCGTATGCGCAAATCAGACGTAGGTTTTTTTTAAAGGAAATTATGCTCTTAGTGTGGTGTAAGGTATCTAAACATTCTCGTAAAAGTTTACGCTTTCTTATTTGTCTGATTACCGAGAGAGAATGATGACGAAAGTGCTGCAGTTTGAACATGCGTAGACATATGCGAAAGCAAATGATTATTTTTCGCTTATAGGCTCGCAAATAGGCAATCAACATTCCCATAAAACTGCAAATTCTTGCACATTCTGGTTGAAGAGGTAAGTAGGTGACAAAATTGTTTAAAATCGAAACGTTATGTGACTCATAGCTGAATTTAGAGAATTTAGGTCGCACACAGCTCGCGAATATCTTCGTTTGATTTTAGCTTCGTAAAATTAAACGAAGATATTAGCTTCGTTTGATTTTAGCTTCGTAGCTCGACTAGTTCCGTAAATGCTAGAAATATATTTGGCGTGCCTGCATGCACTGCACAAGCGTATGCGAAAGATAATTTTGTGTTTACGAGCCCGCATATGGACAGCAAGTGGTTTTATAATATCACAGCATTCTTCTCAGACTGATTCCAGAGTTGGCATTTTGCCAGTGATGTCTCGTCTTTAACTTTGGCGTGTCGTATGCGTAACGTAGGCGTGTTTGATAATTGAGTTTGAAATCTTTTACTTACACATAGGCAAAAGATACCCACGTAAAGTTTCAGTTTCCAATCCCATCTTACTCGCTAAAAAATTCGCCTGATTTATAAGCGTCCGTACATGAGACCCAAGCGTGCGTGAAGGCTCTCTGGATTGCACATGGAAAAATAAACCTGTATCGCTGTGACAACACATTTATACAATTACAAACATATAAACGATATACCCGCAATAAAATAGACTCTTTGGCTATTTTTGACTAGTTTGTAATCTCAAGGCTTCCGAATTTCGATTTTTTAAAGAAACTAATAATCCCGTTTATGATTTGGAATAATATATCTATTCAACGCAATTTCTCGGAGCCAAAATGTCTTTTAGCCTTTTCTTCAGTGATTGCATAGAAAGGTTAAATTGGGTCTGATTGCACTGCATGCTAAGCAACCCAGTTTAACTTACCATCAGTACAAATCATCGAAAAACCGTCTCGAAAGGAAAGCTATTCCGGAGCATAAGTTGCTGAACTAAAGCCTGAGAGTAGTGTTAACTGATCCTCGTGTGAATTCATACAGCTTGTTAGCAAAAAACAACATATGCATTTTCGAATCAAATAACAGTGAAGCATACTGTGGGGTTAGCCTAAACATTCAGCTGCCTAGTCTCCCAAATTCTGTAATTAAGCACACAGATTCATAAACTATCTAAATGGACACACATTTATGATTTTGTTTAATTTTTTCCCCCTGTGTATTCATATAAGAAGCGATAGACAGCCGCATTTTGTTCAAGAGTTATAGCATTGCGCTCCACAAAGTGTTCAGCTTCTCTGCACTGCATGACACCTCTTGTCTGGGGAGGCTTTGTAGTTCGCTTTAGACTGCTTGGGTACACGAATATGCGCGGACACGCATTGCAGGGAGACAAAATATCGCAGCAGTGCGCCCAGATTTATGCAAAACACATTTAAAGAAGTGGTCATTACAAAAAAATTTCTTCATAATCGCTACTGTCCCACTGCATATTGCACTGAGCAATGATTATCGTCTTGGCAGTACCAAGAACGCTTGCTGCAGCAGCGAGACGCGTGTCTACTGCTGCATCCGTTGGCTTGCACAGTGACTGCAATACAACCTGCAAGCAAACAGTACGTGTGAGCAGCTGTCGTACTATGCCTCCATAGAAAGTGGAAAAGTTTTTTCTCTGATGTTCGCTGATCAAAAGATGCTTTTCTCTAC